CGCAGAAAAACACAGCGCTCCCCGCGATCACCCAGCGAGGGCTCGGCCCTTTTTCGGGGTACGGCAACCGGCAGTCCTGCGCAGACCCGCCTGCTGTACAGACGGCCTTGAGCTGCCGTGATCAGGCGTGGGGAGACTGTGATCAGAGTGGACCGGAGGTTGAAGCTGAACGACAAGAGCGGTTTCTTCTCACCCCACACTAAGCCCCAGGACTAACCATCAACGTTCTCAGAACGGTCAAAAACAAAAGAGTAAACAGTGGCCGCTCCTGCCACTAACACATTTTAATTTGTGTCCACGAAGGCTGGTTACAAACAGAACTTGTGAGCGGGGAAAAATGTGCTGCTGACAGAGATATAAGTTTATATCCACTTATACCCTCGCACCCGAAGAAGGCACCACAGCCGAAACGTTGTGTTTACTTTCTTCTCTTTTCAGCGTGGAATAAACCTATTACTTGTTCCTTTATATCCACATATAACCACTCTCTACATATCCACAAACAGACATGCTTGTGCGCATAGACACACAGTACATGCATGCATGGATCATAACCTTACCTCCCTAACTTGAGAACACAAGCTTCTTTTAACGCGTCCGTACTCTTCTTATGTTCTTATCCGTTGATCAGTTATCTGCTGGCTACCAAACGGGCCCAGTGAGTGGACTGGCCTCCTCCTGTCTGTAACTGCTCTTCTGCTACATATTCAGATGTTCCTTGGCTGTGGTGTTCAAGCGAAGGGATTGCAAAGCTTTTGTTTTTTAGGTCCGGCTGTAGCAGACAGTTAAAGCAGAGCCATCCCCAGAGAGTTGCCCCTTTGCCAAGCCAGGAATGACAGGGCGCAGCAAGAAACGCCAAGGGTCAGGCCGATTTTACCATGTGAACGGCGGAACAGCAGCAGTTTATCAAGAAACAAAGGTGCAAATGGAAGAAAAATGACAAACAAAATCAGGGACGCACTAATTAGCGAAGTAGTGGGTTACCTTTCACAGCCAAAGTAAGTTCGATTTAAAGAGCTCCTTTCAGGCAAATGAACGGGCTTCCTGTGTGCACATACACTCCATGCAGAATCCACAGCACATATGAGATTTGTTCTTTTAAAACCGTATAATATGAGCCCATTAGTTTACTTTTATTTTTCTACATTCCTCAGGTTTTGCTAGAGTAGCCTGTTCTGCCGCTTATAAAAGAAATCTAATTAGGAAATCACTCTCATTAGTCATAGAGAGGAATTAGTGCTATCCATGCTAATTACTCCTGTAAAATCTAATAATCTCTTTGAAACAAGAACAGCCTAATGAGGTTTTATTTATTGAACTAAATAACTTCAAGGGAAGAAAGAGGTTCAGAATTGTTATTTTTTTGTTCAAATAAGGTTTTTCAGGGAGAAGGCCGTAATACGTTCTAATGGAGCGGGCTTCAGCGAGCTAGCTGGTTTGTCTGTTTGTTTGCTGAGAACAGAAAAAAAAAACCAAAATGACAGCCGCTGCAAAAAAATTAGCTTGTTTTCTTCTTTCAGTTTTCAGATGACCTCATTTTTGTCTTTCTTGTGAAGCAGACTCCGGAGAAGAAAGAACTGCTTTTTTGTTTCCATTTTGCTCCAGTGACACCAGACATAAGAATAAGCTAGACTGTTTTGTCGTTCAGAATTCAGAGAACAAAGTGCTGTGCAGTTAGGTAAATTAGTAGTAGTAGTACCTGTGTTGCCAGTATATCAGTAGTAGTATCTGTAGTAGTAGCAGTTGTATCTATGTTGCTAGTACATTAGTAGTACTCATAATATTATCTATAGTGGTAGCAGTATCTGTGTTGCCAATATATTAGTACTAGTATCTGTAATAATAGCAGTAGTAGTATCTGTGTTGCCAGTATATCAGTAATAGTAGGAGTAGTAGCAGCAGTATCTGTGTTGCATGTATATCAGTAGTAGTATCTGTAGTAGCAGCAGTATCTACCAATATATGTGCTGCCAATATATTAGTAGTAGTATCTGTGTTGCCAGTGCATTAGTAGTATTAGTAGAAGTACTATATCTGTAGTAGTGGTAGTAGTAGCAGTAACACCAAGAGAAGAAGCAGGATTTTTCCAAAATAATAAGAGCAAAGGGATCGCTTAAAAAAAATGATGCATGTTCACCATGCGTGCGTTGATATCAATGCACATTTTAAAAATTTGGTTCCAAATCGCTGGAACGGAGAAGACACAGCGCAGGAAGGAAGCTGTGGTAGCGCCCGAGCACGCTACGTGCGCACTGGAGCCGAAGGGCTGATGAAGGAGGTACAGCTGTCTCCGGGAGAGCTTCAGAACGCTCTGTGGCACCGGAGCGGAAGGCACAATTCACACATGGCCACACGGGCCCAGGTAGGGCTGTCCTATTTCAACCCAGCGCAGGACAGCTGATCCTCATCCGCTCCCAACCAGGAGAGCGGGTCAGTGACAGCACAGGACCCCCTCATTCCTACATGCCGGGGCGCCGTCTTGTGCAAAGGTTCCACGTTGGGGGATCAAAAACAGAGGCTGGCTCCGTGTCGTATTTTGTGTGGATGTTTTTGGCACCTTGCTATTTTGAAATGACAATAAACGCAGCCGCGTTCAGCGAATCGAAAACAATTGGCTCTGAGGTGTTTATTCAATTAAATTAACAAAGTGTGATCATCTGGGGAGGAGGGAGGGAACAAAGAAACCTCATGCTTCCCTACAGAACTTCGGAAAACCAAATCCAAGGAGGGTTATCCCCCCCCCCCGAACACGCCACCCCTTCCCCCTTCGGATTGATTTTCACAAATTAGCTTTAACACTCTTCTGCTTATCGTGGTATATTTGAAAACTCAACAACAAATCAAACTGGCCCAGCACAGAACTGTAACTCTTGTATAAACAAATGCCTTTATGTCCCACATAAATCAAAAGGCTGTTTTTTTGGTTGGCTGATCATAAATTCTTTGAACTGCAAAGGCTTTGATTTGCAGCATTTAATTCTCCCTGACACAGCACGCAGCGCAGAACCCGGCCCAGAAAGCAGAGGGAAGCACAATTTCCGTGCTCCTCTCTTAACCCCTCATCTCTGCAGTGAGTGCCTGAGAAAAGCACGGAAAGATCTTCATCATCTGGTCGCTGATTGGTCGAGGGCCGATAAGACAGGACAAGGGAGTCGGATTTGCCTCCAGCCTGGAGCTCCACATCCCTGGGAGCTGGAGACCTCAATAAATATACCGGGCGCTGAACACCTGGAACCCGACTGATCGTTTTTGAAAAGCAGTCCGGAGGTGGAGATCGGCTTGCTCGTCCGGATTGCTAAACGACCCCGCCTGCCGCTCAGGACAAGTCCGAGAGTCACTGACGTGCAGATTTAGACAGCTTAACCTGAACAGTCAAATGAGCAAACAGAAATAATACAATCATACACCGCTTGAGTCCCTTGCCTTCCCAGCAGTCACTACGAAACTGAAGAGATCAGCTGGAGCCCAGCCTCCAAGTGCTCAAGCAATCAACCTGCATGGTTCTGCATTTCAGACTCCATTCTCCGGCTCACTTAGCCACCTCGGTCACCCCTAATAATACTCAATAATTGCTGTTATCACTGTCTGTTCACGTGCATGCAGAGTCTCTGGGATAGCCTGCCTCAATTCCTGTGTCTGCCAGTGAGAGGATGATCGCGGGCTGTGAAAGACGACTGTGCTGCTGCCCCAGAGCCGAGCGCAAGGGTGGCCCCCTGGCACTTTTGGCTGCTATTGTTTTACAGACCATTAGCCATGTGGGTTTTATTAATTGGAGCTGCGTGAGGAGTTTCCTCTGGCTGCTGAAGCGCCGGAGGGGTTCTGCCGTCACACACACTGGGAGCTCGCTTTCCCCAGTTCGGCGCGCCCCCCCCCCTGCCACCAGCAGCGAGCCGGACTGCAAGCGCAAGCCCGACCCGACGAGTAAGACAGCGGCACCGCGAGGAGGGGCATCGTTAGCCCCCTCGCGCAAGGCAGGCACCTGCTCGACCGCCTTACAGGCCGCAGAGTCCTGAGGGGTTTCCAGGCCTTGGGGGCGTGTTGAGCAGAGAAAGGCCAAGCCCTCCTGATACACCAGCACCGCCTCACGGCCGAGACATTCCGCCTGAACGACCCAAAATGAGGGGGCAACGCAAGAAAGAGGAGGAGGAAGAACAGAGAGAAAAGCGTGCCGGCTCAACAGCCATCGCTGGCCGGACCACAGCTTGCTCGTTCACGTTGTCCGCTGGGTTCACAGAACCGCGCTGACCAGGGGCAGAGTGGAGTCTTTCCCTGAAGGACTGCAGGAACAGCTTCCTCAGCTCTCACCTTCCCAAACACCAGACAGCACCTTTCTGCTCTCCGGTCCCTTCCGGTGAGCTGGTGAAAGTTGTTTTCTAAAGCTAACATCCGTTACAGGCGCGCCGCCTTCCCCTTCTCTCTGGCTCGTCCCTGCATCAGCAAAACGGCAAGGAAGACAACACTTTTTTCCGCGCGCTGTTGTTCGCACGGTCCTCACGGATGCGAGAGCTGCGATTTGTTTTCCGTTGATAACGAGAGCAATCCTACCCCACATCACCCCCATGTCACTCTCGAGCCCAGGCTGCGCAAGCCTTCACAGACTCGAAGTCCCTGGCTTTCTCCAGGACAGAGATGCTAAGCACAGCAGCTAATGAGCGACAAAAAAAAAATGCCAAACATCTAAATTACCTCCTCTCCTGGGTCTGATAACCAGAACACACCAACAAAAACAACAGCTTCCCCAGATCACTGGAGACATACTCTGCAAGAGCACAGTTCCATCTTTCACAACAGTTGAGGGTGAACCAGGGTATCCCTCTCAAGCAATTGGAGGACAGCCCTTTACCCATAATTCCCCACCGTCTCCCGGCAACGGCGGCCAGAGAGCCCAGACCAAGGCAGCAGAGCCGTAGCGGAGCTCTGTAATAACCATGTTATAACTGGAGTGTAACAGGCTCAGAGCCTGGCCGCAGCAGCGCGGACCACAAAGCAGGGACCCCTACCTGTCGATGATCACGGGATCCGAGGGCGTCTCGTTCCGATTGCCACAGCTTTTCTTGTCGCAGCAGCGGCTGGGGAAAGGTGGGAGAGAAAGCAAAGGTCGGAGAAGGTCACCGATCGCCTTGGTGTCCGCGCATGTGTCAGCAATTACCCTGGGCTACCGGGAGGAGGGGGGGGTCGAAGGAGGGAGCGTGTCTGTTTCTGGTTACTGTTCCTCCCTGGAAATGTTCAGCCAGGGATCACCTGCGAGGGAGAGCCGCTGAGGAAACAGGAGCTTCTCATGCCCCTAGTTATGACTGTCACATATGGGCCAGCTATGGGATTACAAAGGCGATCCATCCTTCAGACGGCCTGCCTCCTGTTACAGCTGTGCGGCAGAGCCGTGATCTTCCTAGGCCTCACCTGAGGCAGGTAATTACCCCCTCCAGCCCCTCCCTGCTCCGATACGAACCTGAAAACACACACGTACGAACCAGACTCCCCCCGCAGCCTCTGCCTTTGACAAAGGACAGAGTGATTGAGTGGGAGGGGGGTTGGGGGGACAGAGGGGGGGCCCCGAACAGCGGTGATGAACCTCCAGCTCACGTTACGCCTGCACAGATGGTAGAGGGGTATGAATGAACGCGCCGGAGAGGTTGTCACATAAAACCAGCGGCATTGTCTCGCTCGGGGAGCTGTGCATCCTGTCCTCTCCCGCCCTGGCCACCTTCCTCTCCCCCTGTCCCCCTGCTCGCGCGCTCCGGGCTTCTCCCTGCCCAGCCTCCCCTGGCTCCCCGACTCGGCGCGCGGATCCCAAACCTCCGGATCTGGTGTATTCCTGAACTGGCTCTCTCCCATCTGGGTCAGCCGTCCTCACCCCCCCCCCAATCAAGTCAGTAAAAAAAGGGCCTTGTCTAAAAGATGGTTTATGTGGGTTTTGAGAAACAAACACCTCTCCCTGCTGTAAAAGGTGGCAGAATTTGCAGCTCGTTGGCGTCATGCGATTAGCAATGTGTGGACGCTGGCTTTGTGGTTCCAGGTTCCGGGTGGTTCCGATACCGCGCGGGAGAGACAGGTTGGCGCGGCGCTCTGTGTTCCTCGGCCACGCCGGCCTGGCGCGACGCCAGCCCCGCGCGCTCGATGAGCACCGCTGGGAGGCCCATCCTCGCCTTCAAAGCCCCGAGATCAGAGAGACGCCAGCCCGCAGGACGAGCTGACTCAGCCGGCCCGCCTATTCATCTCTCCTTCCCCGGGCCCTTTCCCCGCGCCCGGCTCTTCGGGTGACGTCTCTGCCTGAAAGGGATGCTTCTGCCTCATGTCTGGGAGACGTCAGGCGACGGGCGTGGGTGGGAGAGCGAGTGGGAGCGGGGTTCAGGGCCGCTCTGTCAGGCCGGACGAGGAGGAGGAGGAGGAGGAGATGTTGCCCAGAACAGAGGCAGGAAACAGAAGTCATCTGTGGAGTGTTGCAGCCCTGCCTCTGGGCAGGGGCATCTCCTCTCACGCTGCTCTCCTGCCCTCTCTCCCTCCCACAGCTGGTCACACCTCTGCCATGTATTACTGGGAGAGGGGGCACATTAATGGGGGCAGGAGTGCCCTCTCTCTCTCTCCCCCCCCCTCCCCCTCCCCTGGCATGGAACTGAGCTAAGCTTGGGTGGGGGTGGGGGGAGACTGTCTGGCTTCCAATAATAACCGGGCACTCAAACAGCGCCCACGAAAGGCCACGCACGCACACGCTCCGGCACCCCACGAGAAATAAAACCCTTTCCAAAAAAAAATCTAATTAGCACATTCTAATTATTTGAGGATTTTTGTTGTTGCTTTGCTCCCTCTCTTAGGAAAGTGCTGGGTTTTTTTTTTTTAATCTCTCTGTGTTCCTGTCTGGTAAAGGCTTTGCAGCCTTCCAATGTATACCATTGTGATGATGTCATCAGTAAGGGACAAGCACAGGCACCATTTTAGGGTAAATACCTGTACGCACAGCCAAAAAGGCATCCTATTAGTAACACTTCTGAATGAAGGGTACAGAAGGGACACTATTTCTTTACTGGGTCCCTGCAAAAGTTCCTCAAGCTCATTCCTGCCTTCAGAAATGCAAAACTCCTAACCTACCTCTGGATTTGAAGTCATTCTCTTAAAAGCATTTGAGATTGTACACATACTTTTATTCTGCCTCGTGTTTGACAAGAAAAGATTAAGCAGTTTTTGTCCTATGGATGCAAGCTGGCTTGGCACCATATGGCTAATGGAAGAGCACAGCAATTAGCAGCACTGATTAATGGTGAACAGACTCTAATTTTATGCTTATAATTGAGACTGTGTTTGCACCCCCAGTGCAGAATCAGCACATCCTAATCCAGCGTGGAATCGTGGGATAGGACAGGCGACCCGGCAGGGCAGCGCGTGTGTATGTATGTGTGTGTGGGGTGGGGGTACGGTACACTAGCTGTCTCTACCCTGTGTAACTCCATTCCTACCTTCATGCACACAGCCATAAGGAGGCCGCAGAAGGGAAAACTCAGTCTTTAAGCAGAGCCGTACTGCTGGATGTCTGCTGACATACTGGCTCCACATGGGCCCGGTATTTAAGGGGAGCCAGTCGCCCAGCTGTGTCAAAGTGTCAGCTCAGCCCGGTAAAGGAGTGTTCCTTCCAAATGAACAAACTAGGCTTTCACTTTTACAGATGTCCAGGTGAGGGGAATCTACTTACAGGGAACTGTTTCTATCTAAAATGCAACCACCTCTTTTTGCAATGCTCCTCTTTTGCATAGCTTGTAGCGTATGTGTGCATTTGTGTCTGGGGCGTATATATTTCACTGTCAACATGCTAAGGAAAATGCATTTATTATAAAAAGAATAACAAGAAAATTCCGACTGAATAATGAGTTCCTGCTTGTCCTAATTAACCGAGCATGAGTAGGATATATTTAGGAGAAAACTGTTAAAATGCTCTTCGGTATTCCTAAAAATAGATGAGAGCCTATCTTCACAACCCAGTTTTAAGCGAAAGAAATTCATCTTTCGCTTTTAATTAAAGGTGCAACACTTGATAGCGAGCTCATCTTCCTCTCTTGCTTGCTTGCCTTGTTGTTCAGGCCTCTCTTTTGCTCCTGCCAGCTGGGATAGTGGGGGTGACCTGGTTAGAGCCTTGTGGGCAGTACTCCTAGCCAAGCTGTTAGCGGGAGAACGAGGGGAACCCCAGAATGATACCTTTGCCGTTAAGCTACTGAATTGAGGAGTCTTAGGACTTCTAGGGCTCCCTCAGCAGAATCTGTCCTGCAAAGCTTTTTTCTCGTGTGGCTTGTGAGCACAGAGGCCACTCTGTGCACACCTGGGTGAGGGTTCCCCTCTGAATAGAAAAGACAACCCTTGCGGAGTGCAGGCCTATTCGGTTTAGACCGTCGTGCCCTTCACCTGCAGCGACCCAAACAAGAAGACTGGGCACGTCTCAAAGCGAGGAGAGGAGGAGACACCTGGGCACTTGAACCATCGCCACAGTCTGTGTTTTGGCGGTGAAAATCTGCCGGGGTCTATCCTTAACCTCTGCAGCAGCCAGCTGCAAAGGATGATGGGATGCTGGTTGTTTGGCCAGGCTCCGCGCCGTAAGGGGAGGACAAAGCTCCCGAGGAGCCACCTGAAGCTTCAGAAGAGGCTTCCCAAAGCAAAATATCTGGTGTCCATCAGTCCTGCTAATGTGTCCAGCAATGCCTCCTTACATGTGATTTATTGCTGGTCGGTTCTTTAAGAGGTGCCCTTGTAATCAGTTATTGGAGATCATTGCGTCTCGTCCCTCTCTGGCTGTGCCAAGTGTCTCCACTCCCAGCAGCTCAATTACACGCCCATGCCCTGCCGTGATCTCATACGAGAACCTCACCAGCCCATTAACCTTTTCGGGCAGTTTAAAACCGGGCTATTACACTGCTGGTGTGCAGGGGGGAGCTGCACGCTGACAAGAAGAAGTCTTTCCCAGAAGAAGTCGCGGGAAGAGCTTCCAAGCTTCATGCGCAGATATTCCACTTTCTCTCCAATCTTCATATTATTATTTCAGTGCGATTTCCCTTGTTTTGTTTCCTGCTCGTTCGTGTGAGGAGTGAACCATGTGGGGCGACAGAGCACATCGAGCCTTACCTGCACATGATTTCGTGTGTCAGTAGAACTCGGCACATTTCGGGATTTTTGTCTTGACCTTCATAAATAATAGCCTGAAATGAGGGAGAGAAAACAAGTTGTATTACCAAAAATTCTCATCGACCAGACAGGAAGTCAAACACAGTCAGTACGGGGCCAATATGGTTCTGTTTTACTAAAACCCGCAATCAGGACAAACAGGACTCATTATACTAAACACTGTCTAATGACTGAGCTCTGATGATATCCCATCACACACGGCATGCTTATGAGACAGCTTAAAGTTCCTAACCCACTCTTCAAACCCTCATTCACATATTGCTTATATTCTGAGAACAGATTCTGCTGAGAAAAACATACACAGGGCAATCGTAAGAGCTTAATGTAAAATTTATTGCATCTGGCAGGAAAAGGTTCATAACTGACCACATGTGTCATGGGAATCCGCAGTTCCAGGATTCCAGGACTTCTGGCCGAGAATGATCTGTTTGCAGTCAATTGTAACTTACAAAAACAGCTATGCAGTTCGCAGAGCATTACATATGGAAATGACTTGTAAAGTTGTAACAGTAACCTGTTTTGTTCGGAGCACATTTGCGGGCGTACAAGCGGTCCATTTGTTGAGCTGTCTTGATTAGCTGGCTATAGGCACACTAAGACCCTTCTTTAAGTCCAGGCACATTAACGACACAAGTGTTGTGAGATTCAAAACTCCTGCTGGAACTGTGCGCACTGTTATTTTACTGCTGCAGCCAGTTCTAAAAAAAAATTAAAAATGTGTGCAAGCTCCCATATATTCGTACTTCTTCTGCCTCTAGTTTTCATTTGATTTAGATGAAATGTGTAGTTTGTCTCCATGTTTATCAATGGAATTTGACAAATCAGATTCATTGGTTCTTTTCACCACTGAAAAGCACATGCACAAAGGCCAGGGCATTAATGAATTATTTTTAGTAGTGGGGGGGTGGGGGGGGGTGGAGGACAGGGTTCGTCTCAGGCGATGGCTGCCTGGCCACTTTTGGTGCCAGTCAGCTAGAGGCAATAGTACTGACAAGTCTTGAAGGCTCTCCCTAAGAGTGTATGAATACTACAAACCATCAAACACCCACATAAAAAAATTAAGGGATATACAATTATTTTTCAATCAACAAATCAGGAAATAAATATTGATTCTGTAAAGGGATGTGGGAAAATGGGACAAGATACCAGGTCGTGTTGTTGAAGCCGAAACCCTGGTTTCCTTCAAAGACATGACTGGGTAAGATCCTCAGCTCAATTAAGTACTCATTACCAAACAGACCAGAGGAGCCACATTGTAACTGCTTTTTAACTGTCCTTATTTGCTTGCATTCCTAAATAACTCAAACTAAAAAACCACATTCGAATCACGGCCATGGCATTTTATATCAATAGCTCAATCCACTCATTCCATGTCCAGAAAATGTCTTTACGGTATTTGCTTTTCTAAGGTGGGTTTGCAAACGCAGTTCCAAGTCTGGCCTCGAGTTCGGAGGCCGATTTTTTCTCCGTGGCTAGTACAGTATCAGTGAGACTTGGTCCTGATCACTTGAGCAGACCACGTGGTTTTAAAACAGATGCGAGTTAACTTGTGCATCACGGGTTAGGGAGAGAAAAAAAGGACAGGCCGCATTATGGCTTGCAATATGACAGCTTTAGTTTTTTGTTGAAGTGATTATTGTTATGTTCCACCCTTTACTCAACACTCAGCTATTCCTGGCACGTGCTCCCATCTGCGCCTCAGTCCGACTGGAAAGCCGAGCTTTCTGGGAGCGAGAGGACAGCTCCTGCGCTCTTCTGGCTGTGCCTGTGTTCAGGACTGTAATCGTATTTCTGTGCCTTCGCACTGTAACTACTCTACCGTATAAAGCCCCAAACAAATGGCTGTATGTTGTACTGGGGGGCGGAGGCAGACAGGCAGGCTGGGGGTAGGGGGGTTGAGCAGTTGGACGGCCAGACTGGGAACAAAGTGAGCCATCTGGCCCAGCGCTGAGTTCTTCCAAAAACCTCAGCTTTGTTTTCAACCTCAGACTCCAAACAACACATTTTCCACCGCTGCGAATTTCTCATTTTCCCCAAACATACACAGCCCTGAGCTGCCTGCGCTGCGCCACCCCAGCCGCCCTTTCAGTGCTGGGAGTGTTGGAATACAGGAGGAAGAGCTGCGCAGGACAGCAGCTGCTGCCTCCCTGCAAAACACTTCTGCTAACAGTACTAAACTACTACTTTAGTTGTAACTAAATAGCACTTACAGCTATTGCAAACTCTACTAAACTACTTCAGCTACTGCAGTTACAGCTACTGCTACTGCAAACACTACTAAACTACTTCAGCTACTGCAGTTATACCTACTGCTACTGCAAACACTACTAAACTACTTCAGCTACTGCAGTTACAGCTACTGCTACTGCAAACACTACTAAACTTCTTCAGCTACTGCAGTTACAGCTACTGCAACTGCAAACACTACTAAACTACTTCAGCTACTGCAGTTACAGCTACTGCTACTGCAAACACTACTAAACTTCTTCAGCTACTGCTGTTTCACCTACTGCTACTGCAAACACTACTAAACTATTTCAACTACTGCTGTTACAGCTAATATTTCACCAGGTACTTCTAGAATGACTAATACTACTGCTACTACTAAAACTACAATCTCTATTCCTGGTGCATTTAATACTTCTGCTATTTCTAAAACTATTAATACCACTATTGAAAATATTAAGGCTGCTAACATTACTGGTACAGCTGCTTCTCTAGCTAGTATTTGTGTGACTGCTTCTGAAGGACCACTGCTGTAACTTTTTTATACAATAACTATTACTCATAATGAAAAATATAACTATTAATTACACATCTTCTACTCAAGTTCTTGGTCATTGTGTAATCCAAGAAAAGTATTAAAGAAGATTTAAGGATGACCACTTACAGTGAAGTATTTGTAAACCCAGACAAAATCACAAAGTATACATTTCTATTAGAATGTCTATTTTTATCTATCATAATGATATCATCCAGATGATGATATATCTACACAATTAGGCCTTTGGCCTTAATTAGTTTTTGCTGTGTGTCCTCAGTGATATAGGATCTCTGCCGGTACCTTCGTCCTTTTTTCTTTATGTTGTTTCACTTTGAGAAAAAAAGGGCCAAGGTCTTTTAAAACAGAGCCACATGCATCACTGTCTACAGGCCTCTAGCAAAGCACAGATCCCAGAGCAGCCTGGTTCTGTTTATTCACTGATGAATTTAGACCGAAAATAAACAAAACTGGGCCCTTAAAATGCCCTCTGCCTAGGCGAGACAGAACATCCATCGAATTATTTTTTGAACACCATGCCAAAGGTGGAAGGTTTTGAAAGCGGGGGTAATATCTCTGCTGCTTTTAGCTCATTTCTGCTCTTCAGATTGCAATTTCTGCAGTTTCCACTGTACCGTCATTAGGCAGGTCTATTTATAGCTCTGGGCAAAAGCCTGGACAGTTATAGTGACTCAAGAAAAAGTTTAAAAACTGCATTGAGTATGACCCTGAATCAAGGGAAAGTTAAAATCACCAGCAAACACAACTACGGCAACAAGAAAAGTTTGTTCACCTTTATCTAACTATATAGCATATAGTAATTTTGGGGGGTTATTTCTTTTATCTGAGGGATGGGGGGTCAATCCAATGAACTAACTAAAATCACCCTAAACATTGCAGCTATTATAATGCTATGAAAAAAAGTTTAAAACACTTCATCATGGCTAAGAGAACTGTACACTTGGCTAGGTACTGTGGAGATATGCCTCTTCATGAAAGTATTGGTATGAGTGACATAAAATGCCACATGTTGATAAATGCCTTGATGTACTCTTACTGTGATGTCGGTTTAAAGTGGAGAGGGTTGACACTCACAAACACGCTGTCTACTTAACTTCTTCCAATGTTATAGTACCAGTGCACATAGGAACGACTCAGTCCCTGCCTGTAAAGACCCGCAGCCCCTTCCTGAAACAGAGACCACTATGTTAAGTCTGTAAAAGTCCCGCATTTCTAGAGCATTATAGGATTCCGTCAGGTAAATACAACTGCTTTTGTCTTCCATGTGCGTATCAGTGGTCTTTTTGGTGTCTTTTAGGTATGTATTTTGTCTTTCAGGGGTGAAATTAGATCTTCAAGGGTGTTTTTCTTTATGTTCAGTGTGTTTGCTCTCTTTGGCTCTCTCTCTGCCTTTCCGCCCTCACCTAGCCCTGGGCCAGTCTGATTCTGGCTGTGTGTCATAGCTAAGGGCCCTCTCTCGCTCCCTGTCCCTCCTTTTTCTCCCTTCATCCAGGCCGCAGAAAGAGCCGTCGACGGCTCTGAAGCAGGGCTCTGCTGAGAGTCAGCCTGCACAAGTTCTCGAACGTACTCCTTGTCAGGAGAAGGCAGATGAAATAGAAGCCAAAGCAGCAGGAGCACAGAGGAAGAACAAGCTGCCCACACATTTCCAAAAGAAAGAAATTAAATAACACGTTGGTGGCGTTCTCCGCTCGTCTCACCAAAGAACACAAAAGAAAGAACTGCGAAACGCTACAAGTACAGTCTTCCAGTCACGGAAGACTCTGAAGCAGAAAGAGACGTTCTGAGTGTCTTTAAAGCACACGTTACAGAAATACGCGTCTAAAATGTACAACACACAGATTATACAAAGCGTGTACACTATAGAGTATAACATCCAGAAGTTTCAGAGGACCCTTCTTGCTCTCAACCTGTCTCACATCATCGGTCTGTTAAGAAGCTCTAATTACAGGAAGTGTCTAATAAAGGTGATCGATGTCACTCTACGCATTTTGTTTGGATAGCTGAAGTGTTTTCTGAACTGCTGTATAAATATCATGTAAATACACCAGCAACAGCCCAATAAATTACAGAACAAAGCCCATTCAAATGCTTTTCCTCCGCAAAATCCTGCATTTAAGGAAAGCGGTCATTTGTATTAACCCATCCTCCAAACACATCGCCTTCTTTTCTCTTTATCTGTCCAGCTCTGTGCAGTCGCTTCGAGACTGGCCTCTTGTTTTAATAAGATGGAGTGTGTCTAACGTGCCGGAGAATTTCCAGTTTTTCTCTAGTCCTCACTAGCTGAAAAAACTGATCCAAAACAGCTATTTAGGCTATAAAACATGCATGGCATCAGTGTTTCTGCAAATCCAGGATGAATGCAGCATGCATTAACAAGCGCATTACATTGATATGTCTTTAATACATATTTCATTTTGCAGAAGTAACTTTTCATATTTCATTTGCAGTTTTCTCCTCCAGCCTTGATGTGACAACCGCTTCTAAAGCATGTAAACAAGTTACTAAAAATACATTAAAACACACTTCCCTTTTTGTTACCGTGATCTGCAAACACTTCACAAAGAGCTCGGTCGCTTTTCTTTCTCTGCCTCCTGCAACTTTTATAGGTGTCGTGATTGCAGCGTGATGCTCTTTGTTCAAACCCTCAGCTGTTCTGGCGCCGAGCTCAGGGTTAGAAAGCCCCACATTTTGTTTTGTTTTTTCTGCGCTCGCCGTCTTCATCAGATCTGTCAGCGGCGGTGCTGCTGATCACACATGTCGCTGTCAGATTGACACTCAGGCCTCTCTCGCGCAATCTGAAGACAATTTATGGAAAGTCTCCCTGGAATGTGTGTGTGTGTGTGTGTTTTCCTCACCCTAGTTGGTTAAAAGTAATGTTAACGGCAAACTTTAAATCGATGACCAATACAGCTGTCTGCCTCTGCCCTGACATTGTTGTCCTCCTCACAATGAATGACAGGAGCTGTGCGTCAGCCACAGCAGTTGGGACATATAAAACGCAGTTTTCAGTGAGGAGTCCTTATTAAACGCTTCCATAGGAGAGCCATGAGAGTTTGAACAAGTGGGATATGCTGGGATCGCTGCCCTTGTTGCTCCTAATGAGTTCTGCATGTTCTCTCAACACGGTTATCCACAAAGCAGGCAATTTCCATATCCGAGCCACTCATCAGGCCAGAGCTTATCCTGGTTTCCATGGAGTTAAATGGACAAGAGAACATGTGACCCCCCCAGCCCCCAGTCCAGGATGGGATGCTGGTCTATCACAGCTATCCCCCCTCCACCAACCAATGCTAGTGCTCATTTATACAGCTGGGTGGGCTGGAGCAACAGAAGTAAAGCACCTCACTCAAGGCACAACAGCAGTGTCTGCAGCAGGGGCTCGAACCCACAGCCGCCCAGCTGGGGGAGGTCCAGAGACTTGCCCACTGTGCTATGCCACCTTGTTCCATCACCACCTGGTGTGACCTTCTTCTGGGCAACTCATCTGCTCAGGGACAGAAACTCAATCTATCGAAACATTTCAATAATCTCCCTTTGCTAACTCCGGCGTACGAGCAAGACCTTGACCAAGAATACCTTTCAAAGTAAAAGAAATGGGAACTCGCACACAGAGACACAAAACAAAACTTTCAACAAGCCTGGTTCTTAAACAGGTAGGTGGGACTGGTATTTTCAATGATGCTGACCAAATACGCAACTGACACCTGTTCTGGAAAAAGAATGTTAACTGTGGCACAAGTGAGTCTTTTTTTTTGTTATTGTAATTTCAGATAACTAAAATCCTACAGGGGCTTTACATACAGCAGAGATCGTGAACCGATTTTTCCCATCGAAACTCTTTCTGTTTGATCAAAAAAGGGTGTTTAGTTCTCTCTTTTAAAAAGATCAAGTTGCTGCAAGTTAGAGATTGCCAGGCTCAAGAAATCTGTGGTTTCTGGCTGTGGAAACTGCCCGAGATCCAGAAGCAGCAGTAAAGGGGTTACGGACCTGCGGGGGGATTCCAGAAAAGGGGAACCCCTCCACTGACACCCATCATTTCAATTCTTCCTGTTATGTTAAGAAAGTGAAGGCTCCGTGCCTCTTTTATTCAGAAACCTGTAAAAGAGAATTTCTTGAAAAGCCAAATCTATTATCTAGCTATCTAGCAATTTACATCGCACATCCCGGAGAACGATGAAGCAAGACTAAACACTGAATCCGACCAGAGCAGCTCAGTCTCCCCCCGAAAAGACAGAGAGAGAGAGAGAGCTTGATCGCTGGAGCTCCCCATAAAATTGTTCCCATTAAGAAAGGGCTTTATTTCCCCAGCTCGACAAGAAAGAGTGTGTGAGGGGGAGACGGAAATCCTCTCACTTCTGGAACATCGCTTTTGGGCGATTGTCTGCTTGTCGTTTTAAACTTCTCTGACACTTCCCTGAAGACGCCATTGTTCAGTCGCACCGAGTGCTAACGCAAGCATGCCAAGCTTGTTACCCAACTTAAAAGACTCAGCCATGTGCTTTAACAGGTTTTTTAGGGGCCAGGTCTGGGCGGCGGGAATGAATGCCCTTTCACGGTGTGACAAACTGCATCTTCTTAAACATTTTCAACAGCTTGAGAAAAAGCAGCGTAATTGAGTCCGAAGCCTGAAACGAACCTACGCCAAGTCTTAATGTGAGCTTCTACTTAATTCGCCAGAGTTCACGCAACCCAGGTGTCTGTAGGTAATTCATTTTGCTATTCACTGCAATAAATCTCACTTCCTCCTGTCTCCCAGTCTGATTTGGTCCTCGAGTATTGCTTGTGGGGATCAAGATGTATATCCGAGAAAGACACCCCCTGTTGAAACGTTAAAATACTGGCAACACTCTCGGGCACCTATTTAGAGAAGCAAACTGTGATTGCTCATAACACTACTGTATTCCCCGCAGTCTTCTTCTGCATTACAGTGACACTTTGGAAATATTTTATACTGCACTGTTGGGCTGTAGAAAACTTAAACCCCTTTTCAGACTGAGAAGTTCAGCTCTACTAATAGAAAATGCATATGTCCATTGACAATTACTGTCACACAATGATTGATCAACAGCTAACACAATTACACACTTATCTGTCACAGGTTGGTCTCTTAGGATGAGAGAGAATTCTCAGAGAAAATGCAAAATATATTTTTTTTAAATGAAAAAGAAACGCCACACGACTGAAGGATTCGGCAAAACGCTGTGTTCGGGTTTTTTTTTTTCCCCAAGTCTCCAGACATTCAATCTCGAGCAACAGAGAAAGCCTTAAAGCCAAGCAACTCACCCAGCAAATGATTACAGGCACTGTGATACACAATCTTCTTCAGAAAAATAGCAAAGTGAGATAATTATGAATTATCCCACCTACCGAGTTGGAACCATAAGGACAAGATCATTTATTAGAAACTGTTCACAATAAACCTGCCACACGTATCCTGTACAGCCCTCTGTTGCAATCCATTCTCAATAAGCTTTCGCACAACCTTATGACAATAAACTAGAACAGCCCCATAATGAGTAGACTTCCAGGAACCCCAGACTGTTTTACCTCTCACATGCTGGCAGCATGCAAGACTCCTCACCAAGCATCCTGACACTGTGCAGTTTGCCTCAGAAGGCCTCTGCATCCAGACCTCCCATCTTTTTTTTTAACGTTACACTTAAAATTGCGAATGCTTATTCACTCTAGACCACGCAGGGGGAATCAGACTGTGATTGTCTTTCACCGTTATTAAGCATATACTGTAGGACAAGGGTGCTTCTCCCTGCTTTACATTATGATCAACTACCTCTGAAAATAAAGAGCCAACTTCACATCACTGTGCAAACCAGAGTCAAATATAGACAGAAGCAGATTAGATTTATTTGTTTGTCACATTTAATCCCATTAATCCACTATCTGTGCCTATCTGTGCCTGACTGTAAAGTCCCGAAGCCCAGAATGCCACTCGGGTATGTCTTAGTTCGTAGTTTGGAAACCTTTGAGGCAACAAGCTGCTTGCCAGCAGGTGACCCAGCACAACAAGTGGAACAAAGCGTCAAGCAACCATTTAAGAAGAAACAACCTGCTCTCCCAAAAGCAAGGGTTCATTGATTTTTTCTCGAAATCACATCTTTGATGCTGGCAAATTTCAGGGTTTTTTTTTTTTTGTCGCTGTCCTAATGTTAAAAAGCGCCACATTTTCCTATTTAAAATGAAGACAACAAAGATTTTAAACGTATGTCGGAGGAGACACCTTTAAAAGTTTGTTGTTGTTTTGGTGGGAGCTAAAGAAGTAAGTCGTGATCTGCTCTTTGGGGGAGGGGGGGGCGAGGGGGGGGTCATGTATAAAGAGCAGATGAAGACACCCCAGCAGTGACAGCTCCTCCCAGTTCCTCACATCACAACAGCTGCCTGAGTCAAAGGTACTTCAGTATAGGAGTGCCCCCCTAAGAACCCCCCCCCCCCCCCGAGGAGCTGTGCACTGTGTGGGGCTGTGAGGTATCACTGCTCCCACAGGCCGACATGCCTGACTGACACACTGCCCCCCCTGCCCTGAGGCTCAGCCCAACCCCCTCCACACACACACACAGATTTTCTTATTTCCAACCGAGATACCCGCAGTTCAGAAACACCCTACCTGTTTGGTCATAGAGTCAATCAGCCGGACATAGAAGTCTTGCTCTGTCCTGATACCTGCGGATGACAAGAGGGGAAGCAGAATGGGTGCATGCACAGAGCCACATCCGCAAGCGTGCTAAGAGTGCTCTGTGTCTAACATGATTTAAACGATGACAGGATCGCGAGAAGCGCAGTCACCTACACGGGCTTAGGCATTTTTCACACATGCACATAATCCTATAACCTGGCAGAGATGCGTTCTTTTTTTTTTCCCTGAGCATGGTGCCAGAGTCCCAGGCAGGCAGGCTCTCACAGTGTGCAGAATCTTATGTCACTGCAGCTTGTTGACATAACAAAGTAGCTCACACTTAAGATCCTAATGATATCCTCGCTGCAGATGAGTGATCTCTTTGTTGGCTGAATGTAAACCAGATTGCAAGGCTTATTTCTATTTTACATTTATTGAAGAAGCAAAAAAAACATTTCAAAAGATTTTTCGGAGATATGGGTAGAGACAGTCTGCTATTGACCTAAGTGCTGCCTTCTCCTTTTTAGCAATTTGTTTAAAACCGAGGTAGTATTTGTTTTTTAATACACAAACATGTTGTATGGCCTATCAAAGTGGACATAACATCAGTATTGAGCATATAATAATTGTTTAGAAATGTTGTTGTTATTATTATCTGTTTTAGCGTTTTTGCAATACAATTCAAACTTTTCGCCTCCAATTCCTCTTACCTAATTCTCACTGAGCACGCAGAAAAGAAATTTGCGAAGAGACAGCGTTGCCTTACAATTAAAAACCTACACCAACACTACAAAAACGCCATAAAACGGTGACAAACAAACCCCAAAATTAACATTAGCTTATTTTACACTGTTTTTTTTTAGCAGTATTCAATTTAGGCCTGGAATCTCTTGAGTTTTACGAACCCCATTGTGCTCAACAATAAGCTTATATAATAAATTATTCAGGAAGTCGTGTTGGTGGGTCAGTGTGTCCGAGTTTCCGAATCTGGCGAAGAAAATATTTCTGCCGGCAGAAATCAAATGCGATTCCGGGAGCCGAATGCCGAAAGAGAATTGTAGGGCACGTAACTCCACTAGGAAAGCTTTTAAAACGGCGAAGTCGGCCGCCTTACGGTATTTCCGAAACGATTAAAAAACACTTAACCTGTGTTTTAGAATGAGCAACTTTCAGAACAATTTACTATGTAACAGGATGCAAATACCGCCGAATTGAGGACCTTCCCAAGAATCGACTCGCTATCGGGGAACTACGACATTTATGTCCACATACACTTTGGAAAATATGTTAAAAGTCATGTATATTGTTATACATTAAAATAAACATATACCGTTATGGTACAAAAATCCATTATAATATCGCTGCATTGCCGTGTTCAGGTGAGTTAAAAAAATTACTACCTTGAACACTTAACACCTGCTATCATCATCATAACCTTTGTTGTTCAGAGAAAGGACCAACATTTCTCACACCTGGTGCCTAATCATTTTATTTCGGTAGAATTCTATGCAAATCAAGCCTGTGGTATCGCGAGTCTCAGCGCCTTCATGAGAAATTATGTTTCGCTTAAGTGTAGAGGTCTCGAACTCAGCTGTCAGGGCGGATAAGAAATTGTAACCGCAAAGTCTCTTACCATTGCTGTAGAGCAGTTGTAGTCTATAATGAATCCCGTTATTCGTTTTCTCGCCATTAGATTCCTAAACAAGAAACGATACACAGGAAGGTTACGGGTGGAACATTACAAAAGGCGTTTCCCGAACGCGTTTAATGCGCGGAGCGAGGATTGTGTCCGTGTGCTTAAGGGCAACCTACAGACACGGTGAACTGAGGCGAAAAAAATCGAGAAAAAGTTGTAAGGGCCTTTAATTAAATTATGCAAAGGCGAAGAGCGGGGATCTTCTAACAAAAACTGCATGGGACTAAATGGTTACACTGAAAGCTTTTCCTTTTTTTTAAACTTCCTTGCTACTTCAGTGACGAGCGGCAATTAGAATCATTTAGAAAGATTGTTCCTTGCCGTATACAGTACATGCAAGCTCTTTAACACCAAGAAGTCAGGCTGCCTGAACTTCACTGAGGGGGGAATTAAGACAGGAGACGTATGAAGCTGCCAATTCAATGTAAGACAAGGCCACATTGGAAGTGGTCGGTATAATTATACCGTGCGTGAACAGCAGTTCTATCCAGCATTAGGATAGAAATTGATTAGACTGCAAACTTTCTTGAACAACTACCGGCATATATTTGCTCGACGTGGAATAGATGTGTTCAACGATCTTACTTTTTAGGAAAATCTTAATCTGTGTATTCTAGGGACAAAAGCACTGTCCCAGCCGCGTGGGAAAGTAGAGATATGAAACTTCAGGACAGCAGTAGCACCAGCCGCCCGGTGCTGAGTGAATACTGAAATCTGACATCACAGCCTGTGCTGTAAAACAGTACACTTCCTTTGCGTTCTAGAAAACAAATGCAGTTATGTCCTGGTTCTCGTACAGTTCGACTTTTGTTACAAGCAGACGGATTCCTAGATTCCTAGTTTTTAAGGTGGGTCAAACGATCCCAATATCCCTTCTAATTCTAGATGAACCTAAAAATCTTCTTAAGGAAATCAGAGGAATGAAACTGCAAATCAAATGCAGACGTACGAGGAATTTACGAAGAACAAGGATTGAGTACGAGCACTGTGGACCTGATCAAAATCATTACAGCGAAGAACAAAGTGCAGTTACAACATTTTTTTTTTCCTGGGAATTGAAACGCATCTGTTTGACAAACACGTGCATTAACGCAGGCTGCAGAGTAGTCAGAAATATTTTCAAATACAATTGTCACACATTGTTTCTTTGCTTTGTACTAAATGTCCAAAATTTCATACTCACGTCTGCCAATTAAAGTGTTCATTTTAAAACTGTGAAAACTATTTTCATGTAAGCAATTTTTGGTAACTGGCTGATGTCCACGGTGTAGTGTAAATAAAAAATAAATACCCGAAATTAAAAAAAATAAATAAAATGCACTATGGGTCATTTTATCAGCATAATTGCCGAATTGTAGTTTGCTGTAATTGCGGATTTTGAATCCGTGATATTCACAGTCGCCAAAACAGTCAGTATGGGGAGAAAAACGAAATATTTAATTTCAAACAAGACTTACCTTCTCCTTTTCTACAAAGCCGAGAAAAGACGTCCTTTCTATCTCCACGGGCTGTCCCTGCCTGTCGTACAAAGCCAACACGAAGTGGAAGAAGTTGGATTTTCGCAGGTTGGAAGGCGGCTGTTTCTCGAAGTGCGCCCGGGCTAGACCGACTCCACTGCGGGCGTGCGAGGCAAGAGCGAGTCGGCGATAGAGAGGTCACAGCACATGGAAGGGAAAGAAAGATTCTTACTACGCCTTTCCACCTTTTTAAATAAACCAGAAATTTTTAATTGAAAGCGGTGTTTTCTTTTTCGGTATCCTCACATATTGACCTCGCTCTGGATCTCATTTTTTTGTGCCAATTTCCTTTTTTTAAAAAAACATGTACAGTTCTCTGCTATCTCATTTCTCCCATCAGCGTTAAGGTCACATTATTTCATTTTTTACGGGTAATGATGTTGCTCTGCCCTGCTTATTTAATAGCGTGCTAAATATTTTTTAATCAATTAGTCAGAAAAAAGAAAATCCCGGCGCAAAAATTACACTTTTGTGTACTTTTATTGAGGAAAGGTCATGTGAGTGACTTTGATAAAAATGCATATTTCATCTCATTTCCAGTTATAATTTCTGTAAAGTTCACGAGGCCTCTGCTTATTCTGTTACACTCGGATAAATACAACTCACTTGAGACAGTAAAATAATTGCGTGTTATTGTAAAGAAAATGTGTCAATTTATCATTCGTTTGAAATAAGAAATACAAACACAAGTAAAATTAACTACCGTGTAGATATGTCTAGTATTACAATTTATGTAAACTTCTAACAGTAGCTGCACTGTCAGGTGTGCCTGTACATTGTACGGATTATTTTTTTTTAAATGTACATCTTTTTGACTCACTGTCCTCCTTCCTTAAACTTCAACGTATTTATTTTTCAGCGTTTGTCCTAAAATATCGCTTGTTGCAGCAGCTGTATTCAAACGGGATTGCTTTTGTTGAAACAGCAGTCAGGAAACACTGTTCGCGTTAGGCTCCGTAAATTTAAGATGCTAGAAAATAAACTGTGTGGATATTTTAGCTGCCACAAATATTATTCTCTCGAATACATCTGACGGCGCGGAGGCTCTTCTTTAAATGACCTAATAAACGGCTCGGAAGGCGACGAAGGCGATCATTTTTAGCCTCCTACGGCGTTTGCGGTTTTTCAGCCGAACAGACCCGTTCAGAGATCCGCCAGCGCCGGGAGATGCACAGCGCCGGGAACAGACCGCGGCATCGCAACTTTAACCAGACCCAGTTTGGGGCAGACTGCTCCGACAAAAAAAAAAAACCCCGGCGGTGCGACAATTTTGAACGTGAGCAGCTAGAATCCGGCAGGTCAAAGAATCCCATGTGGAAAAAGGAAATGAAAGCAGAGACCCGTGGGCTCTGTGGCGGTGAGCAGTCGCCGCGGAGAGCGCCGAGATGCTGCCTCGGGCGTCTTACCTTTGTGCGGCAGTGTTCGCGTCCAGCACGCCCGCTCCCTGCATCCACGTTCGGACGGCGTTCATGCCTGAACCGATGGGCTCCTCTTTCATACTACTCCCACTCCTTTGAATGCTTTCCTGAATCCCAAACATGAAAACAGCCTTACTGTTGTTGCGGTCGTTGTTTTGTTTTTTTTTGTTGGCTTATCCCACCTCTTCGTCTAATTTCCGACCTCGTTTTCTTCAGAACACCGGTGAATGGCTCAGAGCCGTGGTGGGTGATGGACTAGATAGCTCTTGGTACGTTGGAGATACGTGGTCGTATTATTTTTTGATGTCTTTCAAATATAGATTGTTTTTTTTTTTCACCAAAAAATGAAGATAAAAAACAGGTAGAAAATAGCCGGAGGAAAACCAAGCTGTCACAATCCAGGGTTAGGTACAACAGACAAAAGCACAGGCGAACAAGAATCACAAAAAATGATGTGTATTGCACATTGAGTGTCGAGGAAGAAACACGCTCTTGCCTTGCCCGGTGTCCCTTCTGCGTTAAGAAAGAGGCTTAATAAAAAAAAGCTCTGATGTCAGTTTAAGAAACAATAGGATCAACTACAGCTCTCAGACTGTTAGATCAAGTGTCATCCTCCACAGACAAGTTCTTTTTCCCCCTCTCTCTTTCTTTTTTCTTCCCACCACAGATCTTTCGCTGTTAAAAAGCGGCAAATGAATGAGAATCGGGGATCTAGGAAGAGAGGTGGGGACCCTTGTGGTTGCCCGTTCCCGAGTTGTTCCCCCTTGTTAAAATGGGAGTGATTTGTGTGTCCTTTCCCTAAGGAATCCGATTTGACGATCTCTGGGAAACTAAACACAAGCACACTAACCCCAAAGGGAAGGGGGAGTGACCGAACATCAGAGGCCGCCCCCAAACACAGGCAAACCCGGACTCCGATTAGCAAACCGCCCAACCACGGCCCCCTTTTCGCCTAATTGTATATTTCAGACCGTCCTCTCTACTTAACATACGGCATCACTGTGAAAGCCTAGCACGCAGAGGAGCACTCTTCTTAGCGCCAGAGATCAGAGATAACTGTGTAGCCAGTGCCGAGGTGTCGCGCAGTATTAACCCGAACGATCGCTTATGATGACTGAATAATTAGCACCGGTCAGGCGCGTCGCGGTAAACTAGCTCCAGGGGCGACGGCTCTCCTGCATCACCGGCGGCAGCACGCGAAACGGCGTGATCTTCAGTCTCTCTGCGCTGTTGGTCAATTGATTCCTCTTAGTTTCACCGGGAACCGTTTTTTTTCCCTCCTCTCGTAATGCATAAAGACATAATTCAGCGGTCTTAATTATGCGCACGCAGCTGCCTGGTAAATGTTGTAAGCTTGCAGTGTTACTCGGCGGTTAAAAAGAGAAAAGAGTCCGGTAGTGTGAAGCGAACTTCAGACCGGGACCTTCGGTAGCCCGAGTAAGGAAAGGACAGCGTGCTCAATACCTTTTAATTGGGAGGGGGCTGAGGTTAATCTTAACCGTGCTTCGTCCGACCAGACTTCCAAGAGGCGATGTTGCTTTTCCTTTTTGATTCGGTCTTTGTCAGCGGGCATGACGAGGTCTGACCAGCAATCGAAAGAGGAGCGCAGAAGACTTTTTTATTTTAAAAAAAGTTCCGTATTTCAGACGGCTCTTGCTGTCACGGCGCTTCAAGTGCTTGTTCTAAGGTGACAAAATACCGGATTGGACAGCGCAACGTTACTTACATTTTGAAAACCGTTCTAAAAGTACGTTTTTCCTCATGCGCTTTGGCCTGAATCCCTCTGCGTCTATTATATTGGGGTGTTTTCCCATCGAAGCAATAAACCTATTGAAAATATCACAACCTGCAAATCTAACGTTTGACTGTAAAAATAAAACGATTTTTTTTAAATATGTCTGGGTAGGAGTCTTTCTCAAACACGACAATAGCTTTAGAGAAATAATTGTAACATTTGCAAGAATAAATTCGTACAGTTTATCCGAAAAATGAGAATGAAACAATCAAGACAACAATCCGACAACGCTAATCACTAAACAGACTATCAGAAAGGATAATTATTTGGAAATTGTAATTACACTTATGTGGTCTAAAGCAACAGCTCCTGTAGTCCAGCTGTCATTTTCTTTATACAATTAGCAGAATTACCATTAAGGCTTTCTGGAGAGCCAGCGACACGACTCTCCCCTCGAACAAACAGGGAAAAAAATCCCTTTAACACATTCTCTCTCTTGTGCTGTTAGAGCAAATACCTTCTTTTTTTCAAAAACTTACTTTTTTCCGACTTATATTACGCCTATGATTGATTTATTTGTTCGATTTTAAGCACTGAAATGTCTAAATAAAAAAAAAATTTAAAACGTTAATTAGAAGACATCGTATTATTATTATTATTATTATTATTATTATTATTATTATTATTATTATTATTATTTTATTTTATTAACTGAGCAACACAGCAAATACAATTTTAAAAGGAACGCAAAAAGTGAAGTGAAAAACTCTCCCCCCTCTATCCTTCACAGGAAATATAAAAGAGATAAAAACATTTGTTTGGTTTTGAGAAAGCTGTTATGTTTCGATTCTATGGCGACGATTAAAATGCCGTTCCATAACTTCAAAACCAGTTTCTCCTTTTATGTGGTTCCGGAATATATCATAGCTGTTGGAAAAACTCCACGCCAGAGAAACGGCCAAGATCTTCAACGCTTTGGTTCACTCTGTTGTTTAGTCTAATTTATGAAGGCCTAGTGTTTAGAACTTAAAAAAAGACCCCTACATAGTTGTGGCTTCAAAATTAATTCGCGAGATTTGATTTTTCTTTTAAAACTCCGCTGTAAAGAAAACAGAATGTTCTGGACCTATTTTTTTCTTTTCAAGTCGCAACTGGAAGTTGGTTTTTTTTTATTAATGAAAATACCGCTCTAACGTCAACACCTGAACACGTTCTGAGAGCTACTGACCTTGAACCAAATCACAGCACACCATTCTGAGGAGAAAATAACGAATATGTAAATAAAAACGAAATTCTGAAGCGTGTGAACGGTCTGAAATGTACCGTACTGTATTTTAAGAAGTCTGATTTTTTTTTTACCGGACGACCAATCGACTCCATCATTCCGATAATTCAACAGGTACCCGCAACTGTCACTAATAATGATAGTTAATAATGATTTACGGGCTGAAGTAATTAGTGGCGATGAATTTCAAATCTAAAAGTAATAATAACGAAAAACATATTATCGCGTTTCCTTCATTGTTTTCAAGTCGTTATTTACCGAACCTCAAATCAAAGGAGATCGAGTTCTCATTTGCAGGTTCGACGTGGAGGGTAATCGTATCGTACAGCGGACTATTTAATGCAGCAATCTGAGCGCTACACTCCAGACTTCGCCCAGCCACCTGCTCCCACGCGGGATTCGAACCCGCGACCCTAGAGTCGCCGAGGCGCACTCGCTGGTCTGGCTGGGTGTTTCCTAGCGCTAACAGCCGCGCAGTTGCGGGCGGTGAATCGGGTCTCACCCCGGACAGAAGGGGAAGCGTGCTTGGTCTCGGAAGCGGGCTTTTCCAGAGGTTGGGAGAATTTGACCCTGGAGCTCCGTCCGCCCGGCGAGTTTAGAGCATCACCCCGAGATCCTCTCGTCTTGTAACCAGTTCATCAAGGACAACGATTTGGAAAAACCAAGTCAAAATAAAATCAAAGTTTTTACACTCTTGATTAAAAAACAATCTTCCTGATCTTTTATTTAATTTGAGGACATCCTTTTATGTACTCCTCCTGTTCCGTTTGAACATCTGCACTTGGTGTTTTTAATTTAGACAGGTAACTGCTGACGCATTTTTTAAATTCACACCCATCTAAAAACCCTTTTTTTTAAATGACCACACATTGCAATATATTGCAATATTTAAATCTGATTTGGGCTTTACAGAAATAGCTTTATGACTTGTTTCACAGCATATTTTATGAATACAAAGCTCTTAAAACCTCAGTGCCTTTCCGTGGCTTTTTGCTGATCGCACATTAGATAGACAGGCAGCACTCCCGCTAATATATGAGCAGACTTTCTGGGCTGTCCGTCAGCATAGCCATTTGATTTTTCTCGGCTCTTGAACACAGAGCTGCCAGTTCTGACAACAGAGCTGTGCCGCGGAGCCCCTTGGGCAGATTTTATTTTTATCCACGGGTCGCCAAAAAGAAACAGCAGAGATGAGGCGACTATAAAAGGCATTGAAAAATTCAATAACAAAGATATTTACAGACAGCCCTGGCCTGATGATTTAACGGCATAAGCACGACAGCCCCTCACAACCAGAGCCGCTGCCTGTCTCTGCGGCTCTGTACCGCTTCTGGTCCGAGAGCGAAGAGCGGGTCAGAACTGAGCCGGGACACGAACCTGCAGTGGGACTGAAGGCTCTTTCGGCCTGTCATCTTGTGTCCCGGCGTGTCCGGGTAGGACACTTGTACCCTGTACAAAACACGCACCACTTCTGAATAGGCAACACCACAAGCAGAGAAATCCCATGACCTTTAGGAGTAGTTTCTCAAGAAGACCGTGGAGCTGTGATGAATCGGAAAACTTTTCAAAATGGTCCTAAAAACGCCCAGCAGCCTGCGATTCGAACCTATGTTTGAGAACATAATGGGACGTTGAAATAAGACATACTGTATATGAAGGGGTTTGCATACATAAATATACATGTGTGTGTACTGGAGTTCTGTAAATTTCCACCTACAGTCTTTGCCTGATATCTGTGCTTTATGTGGTTTGCATAATGAAAGGATTAATCGCCGATTTCAATTGACAGGTTGCAGTTAAGTAAAAAAAAAAGTCTTGTTATAAAGACATTTTCTTCTACTGTTCACGTCCCCTCTGGAAAAGGAGGTGAAAAGCAGAGAAATAATAGCGGTGGTAGTGGTGTGTGTGTGTTAAGTGTTAGAAGAAGAAGACAATCCGTTTGGACGTGCGTATCTATTATTTCTTTCGGAAATCTTCCTCATAAGGAGGAAAATGTGACACGAACTCTTCAGAGGGTTCATTAGAGGCTCGCCGAGGTGCGGGGTGATGAATTTCTGCACCTCGCCGGTCACCCTCTGAAGAAATTGTAACTCAGCACTTCTCTTCTGTGCGAGCGAACGCCTGTTTAAACGAGGGTGAGCTGAAGGCTTCGCACTTGCCCCGAGCTTTTTTCCACAGCTAGGGGCAACCGGGGCAGATGTCTGCCGCTTCTATACTCTCAGAATAACCGACCGCGCTCCACAGGGGAACCCGGTGTCTGTCGGTTCTCTCGTATACATTTTCGTTGTTTTAATAAAAACCGAGAGAAGCCGTCCTCTTTTCACATCAGCGTGATCTCTGCTGAATAAGGCTGTGTTATCCACACCGTGTTCAGAATTACAACGGAAGGAACACGTTGACTTAACGAAGGAGAGAAAAATCCTGCTCTATTCCACGGGAAGCGAATCTTTTAATTTTCCTTTCCTTCGCTCTGCTTCCCTCTCGTTCGAAATCGTACAAGAAAAAGTTAAGCGTTTTAAATCACTCCCTCCCCTTTTAACAATACGGAGAAGAAACACCTAGAAATCGTAAAATCGTGTCATCCTAAAATAGTCGTGCCTAATATTTTTTTTTTCGCAGCAGTAACAGCAGAGGCAGCGAAACATTTACAATCAAATGCGGCTCTTACAGAAAGAGGGGTCGCCACACCGCCATCACTCCTAGAAATCAGTGCAGATGTCCTTTAAATAACAAATCCTGTGAGCTCCAACCTGTTGTACATAACCAATAATAAAATGGATCGTTTTGATATTCAGTTGGATTAACAGTTTTGAATGCTGCTTTTTCTGTGACGGTGTTTGGTCCTTTAAAAACACCTGGAAAAGACAGGCCTGCAAGAGG